CAACTTATTATATATTCTGCTGAAAAGACAAGGACTGGACGGAACCTAACTTATTAATATGGTGGTATCTCTTAATTATTGTAAATATATCTAACTATTTTATACTTATAATATTGTAAATTTTTAGTATCTTTCAGCTTGTACCATAATTGCAGCCTTCTGCCTGTGTTCCAGTGATTAAGGTTGTATCTTAGTAGTTAAGAAATAAAATTTGATGTTTCCATTATTATTATTATTATTATTATTATTATTATTATTACTCCCTTCCAACGCGCCAAAACCTTGCAAGATGGGGTTTATCACCGACTTCAGACTGTTCGAGATGTCTAGCTCCTGAAACACTTCTGCACGTAGTAGCTGGTTGCCAATCGTATCTAGACGATTCACGTGGAGACATGACTCCGTTCTAAACTTCCTCGCAACAAACCTGCAGACCCTAAGCGGCTCACATCTTTACGTGGATCTTCCAGGGTATAAAAGTCCATCAATCATCACTGGTGACACCTACCGTCCAGATTTGCTTCTTTTAACCTCAACCAGAACACTCTATATTGTTGAACTTACAGTTGGCTTCGAATCAAATCTTCAAAAAAACGTTGAGCGTAAAAAATCAAAATATAAAGAATTAATTAGGGAACAAAATGAACATTTCAACTCAGTAAAATTTGTAAATCTTTCGATTAGTTCTCTTGGTGTTTTCAGTAAAGAATGTTCTACTTTCATAGAAATGATTAATGATTTTGGTTTTCAAAAGCAACATCAAAATTACTGTACTAGAAGAATGACGACGATTGCAATCCGAACAACATATTATATATTTTGTTGTCGAAACAAGGAATGGATGAATCCGGAACTGTTAACTGTTTAAACATTGTACTGTGATTTTGTTATCTTAGTAGTATAATTTTTTGTATATATAATCAGTGATTTAAGTAGCCAGTTGTAAATTACCTGATATAAGTGAGATTTGCAATTGTATATATAAACTAAATATCCATTTAATAAAGTTTTCATTATTATTATTATTATTATTATTTCATGAACAATCTCTGGAAAACAACATCAGAAAGTAAAAACATTCAGTACGACGTTTACACCTCGACAAAGGAAGTCCTTAAAAGTTTTACCTCCAGGCAAGAAGACAAACTGCAGAATCATCTGATTTTGCAAGGCTTCTTCTTTTCAAATGTCATTAAGTTTTCGCTGTCGAAATTAAATGGCATATGGTCTAAATCCCAATCAAACCTCCCAAAGAACATCTATAACTTCACCATCCGTTACATCAATAACTCACTTCCAACTCGCAAAAACCTTACTAAATGGGGAATATTGTCCAACTCTGATTGCTCCTTCTGCTTAAACCTCGAAACCCTTTTACACGTAGTCGCTGGATGTCAAGCGTACCTCCCATGATTTACATGGAGACATGATTCCGTTCTGAACTTCATCGCACAAACCCTACAACCCGTAAAAAACTCGAATCTTTTCGTCGATCTTCCTGGTTATAACAGCCCATCAATTGTAACTGGTGACACATTCCGCCCAGACCTACTTCTATCTATCAACTCGGATTGTCTCTATATTCTTGAACTTTCTGTTGGTTATGAGTCTAATCTCCAAACAAATGTTGATCGGAAAAGAAGAAGATACGAAGATCTCATTACAGAGCAGAAGAAACATTTTAACTCTGTAAAATTTGTAAATTTGTCAATCAGTTCTTTAGGCGTTATCTCAAAAGAATGTCTTTCCTTTTTAAATATGTTGAGTAATCTAGGTCTTGATAAAAGACACCAATATTTCGCTATCAGGAAAATTATGTCTATCACGATTATGACAACATATTATATATTTTGTTGCAGAAATAAGGACTGGTCAAATCCGGAATTACTGAACGTTTAAGGATACTCATTATTAATATATATATTAAGTAGGTTCAAGTAGTCAATTATAGATTACCTATAAATTAGCGAGATTTATAATTGTATATACACGTATATAATTTCAATAAAGTTTCCATTATTATTATTATTATTATTATCAATTTCTAATTTTATGCCGCTAAAATTTTCTTTAAGGAGCCGCTATTGTACTGTGCATCAAGACCTTGGTCTTTGAATCAGTAATTTACTTTCATTGATCGTGGTCGAGGAACACTTACAATTGCATTTCAATTCTACAAAAATATTTTTAGGGGTCGCCCATGACATCTAGATCTCCGGTGCAAATTATGGTCACGGTGACCTCACCGCATCACGACGTCGCTGTTGCGTCTCCCATAGGCTCACCTGCCTATCAAGGCAATTTGATAAGGTCGGAGTGCAAACAAGGACGTGACGGAAGGTTTAAAACCGATGAAGGTGATGGGGGATGTCCTTCCGCAGGTTTGTAATACGGCAGTAATTGGACACCATTTAATCTTTCTATTTTCACAGGTGAGGGCCAAAAATAAGCTCTTTTTTTATTTTAAGCCTATCGGTTTCTGAAGGATGTCGAACAAAAGATAAGACCGGGAAACAAACGAAAAAGAACAAATCATGGTTCCTATGCGACAACAGCTCCCCAAGAACGTGGATGGCGGGTATTCATCATGGAGTAAGTATCCATTTTGAGATAAATATCCATTTTGAGATAAATATCCATTTTGAGATAAATATCAATTGCAGTTGGAGGGAAAAAATCTATTCTATTTTGACACCTTCCCTTGCAGACAATGGCCAGATGTTACAGTTAAGTGCTGCGGCAACGATTTCGATAAACCAGGAATATTGCGGCACCACATACAAAATAAACATGTAAGTATAGAACATGAAGTAGAAAAAAATTCATGGCTAAAGACAACTGAAAATTATTTTTATCTTCATTTCAGATTAAACACAAGAAGTATCGCTTGGGATGATGGTTGAAATTTTAAACATTGTTCACAAAAAATTCGTTTTGCGGCGAAATTCAGAGGCTGGATCTGTGATGAGAAAAGTTCATGTACTGTACCAGTCACTAAAATTGTGAGGAAATCGACTTTGCACTATCCTTGGATCATGCACTAGTTTATACAACTGGTCTCTGAAACTAAAATAAAGAAATACGTTCCAACGTTTCAACGTTTCGAATTAAAGTTATTTGTTTCTAAACTATAGTATTCCATGGGCCGGTTGTTCAAAACTCGGTTATAGCGCTAATCCTAGCTTGGGCAATATACTTGCAAGTGATGAACCAGGCGGGTATCGTAATCGTATTATAAAGATTAATGCCCAGCATAACGTACGAAAGAGAGCCATATAGACAATAATATAGAAATAAGATTTATTTAGAAGTACTAACGTTTCGTCTTTAACCTAAGACATCTTAGAGTATTAAATGGATATAGTATGACAATAAGTTACAAATATGAATAAATTATTTACAATATCAAATTACAAGGTGATAAGGTAATAGGAATGCAGAGGAGGG